TGACATCAGAAAGGGGAGAGGGTGTCAAAACAGGCTTTCAGTTTCGCAAGTCCATTGCCTCTGTCATGTCTTTGGGAAATGACAGTGTTTTTGAGGACTCTGACTGCATCATCAGTGGAGTTGAAACCCCTGGTGGTTCCTGGAATCCTAACAGCTCAGCAAAAACAACAACTAGTAGGGACATCTCAAACAGGTCAAGTCCACCTTCAAGCAAATCTGAGTCAAAAACGGATAAGTGCTACTCAAGGTTGTCCTTCAATGAGTCAAACATTCAGACTGTAGGTGGAGATCAGGTTGACTTGTTTTATTCCCCAAAAAGTGTAAATTCAGGCAAGAGAAATGCTGAGAGCTGTGTCGAAACCAACACGGCAGTACCCAACTGTTCTCAAGCAGATATAGAGCCAGTTGATGACTTCCTAATCGATGACTTTGATATTGATGATTTTAATGAGACTGATATTCCAGATTATGTTGAAGAACCTCCAAGTGTCTTGGCATCAAGAGACAGCTCTGGTGCAAAAACACCATTGGTGCGGGAGGGAGGGCCTTCAAAACCTTTGGAGAGAAAGACAGTAACATCCCCAGTGCTAAAACCTACGAAGACATCCAACCCTGGTAAGTAAGAGTAAGAGTAATGTTATATCCCTTATAATTTAGTTCATTATTATTAAAGACCCCGTGAAATGGCATGATGAGCAGTTTATCTGTTAATGGTGTATATCTTGGTCTGCAGAACCCGTGTACAGAAACCCAGCTCATGACCGCTTTAGAGGCTTCAGCTTTCCTCACAGCCCAGAGATGATGAAGATCTTCCATAAGAAGTTTGGGCTTCATCAGTTTCGCTTCAATCAGCTGGAGGCTATTAATGCCACACTGTTAGGAGAAGACACATTTGTACTGATGCCTACAGGTTTGTTACAAGTGTTATAGCAACAGGAGTCATTTTGACTCATATTGCTTGTTGTTTATTTTGATGTTAGACTAGACATCCTAGCTCACTGTCTTGGCTACACCTGCAACATGTCTTGCTGCAATAATTACATACACGTATAGATATAGTATTCATGAATTATTGGTCAGCCTATGTACATTTTTTTTTCAGTGGTTTACAATATGTAAAGAGATTTATGACCAGTGGTGCAAATGTAATTACATCAGTTGAGATTTGCATAAAATT